GCGTAGATTTACGTATCTATTTTAATAGAAGACCCACTTCAACAACAACGTGAGAATGCATGCTACGCTGAGGACTGTTGCACTGCAAGCACCACATCAGAGACGACCCTTCGCGTCGTATGATCAAAATTAGGTGCGCCTTTGCCGAGATTTCGCAAACGCGGTCTCCACACGAAGGGTTCGGAAGGGTAGAAACACGTGGCGCCAATACCAATCATGCACGGATCTTCAAGTCGCGACCATGGGACGTCCTCGGTGTCAAGAGCGCAGGTCTCCCTCTCCCCGTGCACCAGAGCACAGCGACTTGAGCCTGCCCAGTACGCTTGAGTTGCAAGCTTCACAGCGATTGATAGAGACGGTATCCTCGCCCGAGCTTCCTATCCCGCTCGCGTTGCCACGTGGGTTTGGAATGTGCTGGCAGTTGCGGTGGCACTTGACGTGCGTTTTCATTGGCCCGTGAGCAATTATCATTCAGCCAATCAAAATCAAAGCCAGGGATGCAAGATCGCAGTCTAAGAGCATCTCACTACGTCGTGATCGCAACACACTCGTGGTACGAGGCTCATACAGACTAAAGACTCTACATTCTGCAGATGTGCATGTCTGATGTTTCGAGAAAGATGCAGCAAAGAACTCGAAGCTGCAGTGTACTCTTCTGGGTTCTCCATCAATTTTGGTGTTTGTCGTTGGCACGTCGTTTATTGTTGTGGTAGAAACGTCGGCAACCGAGGTATTTTGGGACTTTCCAGTCGTTTCGAAGGGCAACGAAATCGTTCGGCACGAGTCCGCGCCTTTTCCGCTTCCATGCCGCGCGTGGCCGACAGCAGCCGACTACCGACGCCAACGCGGCGCTACGCTGTGAGGTGCAACTACGTCGGTCTCTTTTTCAGTACTTGCTCGTTCCTCAACATTGCATCCATGGTACCCTCCTCGCCTCACCTCATCATGACCTTATCCCGAGACTAGCCCATGAAGGCGTACATCTCCGAGTACCTTCCTTGGCGCGCGCCGCCCGTCCTGCCAGACACATTTAACAATTTTTCCGACTTGAGCGCGCACACGCTTGCTTTGGACCAACGACTGTACAACAACGCAACGCTGCCGCAGGGCGCCACGTACTTCACCGACTGGACCAACGACGTGCAAGTGATGCGGCAGGTGCTCTATCCCTCGTTGGTGGCGCCGCTTACCCGAGATGCATGCCTCGGCTCGTTTCTGCTGGGCACGCCGGGCTTGATCTTTTACACGCCGGCACAAATGAATCTACTCTGCAGTCTCGTC